ATCAATTTTTCGGAGACGCGTGAAGACGAGAATGGAACAGTGGTTTACAGAATGGACATCTACTAGCGTCAGCCAACTTCGACACCTTCAGCCGGTGAAAGCATTTCGACCAACGCTCCTTCTTCTACGATATTGAGATCTCCGGATTACGATATAGAGCGCAACTTCTCCGATTTTCAAGCATTGTAGGATGCTGTATTTGACGCCGCCAGTATCCTGCCGCAGTGGCAATGTGAGTACTGCACGGAGTTTCTGCTGTACATTTGATAGAAGTTCGCCCAGTCGCGCAGTACCATAGAGCTCGTAGCAAAAGAAAAGCTACTACTGGTGCAATTTATAAGCGATTTCGTCGAAAAGGCGAGGCGGCGTGTGCAAAAGACTGGAAAATACGACTGCATTGCAGTCGTATTTTCTACAGTCTGCAAGGGCCAGGCTCCCATACCAAAAAATCTCCGACCTCCGACGAGCTCCGACGGTAGAGGAGGGACGAGATCGGACTTAATAGAAGTTAAAAGGTAATTGTGGGTAGGGTAATTAGAGACCATGTGCAGATTTGTCTATGCTAGAAATTGCCGAAACGGCACGTTTATAGGCGCACTCACAGGCTCTGAAACGGTCTGTGGGCAGAGAAATCGGCAAAAAATAAAAACGCATGATTTTAAGCTACAGAGCCTTGTGCACTACAGGCTGCAATTTGAGAAATGAGGGCGCCACCCAAAATCGGGGTCCACTAAAAAGAGCATTAGTAAAAATTCCGTTTTTACGCCTGCGCGTATTCACCCCGACACGTGGCCTCCTACCAAGTTGGTGGTTAAGAGTGGCCGACAACAGATTTTTCTGTCATTCACGATTTTTCAGCCGTCAGAGGCAAGCCATTAGTGAGTGTGTTCTTGCGTGTTTGTGTGTGTGTGCGCGTGTGCGTGCGAGTGTGTGTGTGTTGTGTAGCCGTCTTGCGTTAAAATCTGTGTGCTATGATGATGGAGGTTAACATTGCTGTTCCGTTAGGAGGTTAAGCTTTGTGTCCTATTGTCAGCGTTTAACATTGTTGTTCAAGTCTCTCTACACATTAACAATTTCTAAACTTGTAATACGAAGCCGTTTGCGCCTCACTAGATCTTGTTTTTTTTATCCTTCCGTGATGTTGAGCGTGTTGTCTTCCACAGCCTCGTCTTCGAAGAACTTCTTGCGCACAAGCAAGCGGCGCTCCTTCTCGAACGCGGCGACGATGTTTTGGCTCAAGTGCTTGCGTGGCTCCCAAGTTGACTCCCACTCGACGAGGTAGTACGTTTTGCCCTTAACGCGTTTCCAGCTCAAGATCTTGCGGACGTAGTGGATCTTCTCGCTTTCGCTATCTTCGTCACCGTCCACCTCGTCGTTGTCGACAGCAGGAGGAGCCAGCCACTCGCGGATGTCGTCAAGCTTTGCCCGCTGGATCTTGCGCTCCGCCAACGAGGTGAAGACGACTTGAATTGCTTCAGGAAGCAGGCTGGTAGAGGCGACGGTAATGTTCATGGTAAGTCGAGGTGACGAATGGCTTCATCACTAACCCGGATCTTGCAAGACTTGGCCACAGCGATGCACACTGTCTTGAACTCTTTCGCGGCGCTAATGCCGTTCTTGGTTGGCTTCTTGGTAGGCATCCGAGGCTGACGTGTCACGGTTTGAGAACAGAATGAAGAGTGAACAGCAGAGAGTGCAGCGCGCAAAACTTCGCAAAAAATGACTGGACATGACCAGAAAGGTGGGTGCTTTTATTAATTACTTCATGGTCACTAACCCGATCGTGTTGCAAGTATGCGGAGGAGCAGGATCCATGATGAGACCTTGAGCTTGACGTTGTAGGTACTTACCAATGTGGTCATTCAGTTGGCCAGCTTTGTGTAGTTTCCGCATGGACTTCAGGACGTTTTGCGCTCCGCGGGCAGTGACGTTGTGCTGCTGTAAGAACGCCAGAATTGCCTTCTCAGCAAGGCTTCCTGTTTCGAGAACATCGTCGCGGTAGCGAGCAGAGTGCTTGTCCAACACAAAGCCATCGTAAAGGAACAGCTTCAAGAACGCAACGACCTGCTTGCCTGTTGAGCGTGTGTGCTTGGTTTCAGCATCCGTCAAGCTCCACATGCGCGGTTCTTGAGTGTACCACGCGAACCAGACATCCTTCAAGCTTGGAGCTGGAGAGGTACGGCGTCGCTTTCCTCGAGACTTCTTCTCGCTTAAGTCCTCACTTTCTTCTGGTTTTGTAGGCGCGCGTGGGTGTTTGTTTCCGATTATGTCTTCCATTACAGTCAACCGAGCGTCAAGCTTCTTGTTGACCTGGATTAACTGCTCAATCAATGCTGTTTGCTGAAAATATACTGGATACTGGGTGATGTCGTTTGGGTTGTCTTGTGCAAATTTGCTTTTAGAGTCCTCCGCAGTACTTGGGTTGCTACTGAGGTACGCCGACCAAGCAAGCAGATGATTTACAGTGAAGCCTTTATCCTCGGCACAAGCTTCCAAGCGCTGAATTACAAGACCGGACGTCGATAGAGTCTTCAGTGACGGATAGTGCCGCAGAAGGTAAGCCATGAGAGTGTCGTGTACAGCCGCGTTAACGTTGTACTGCTCTGATTCCATTCCGGACGAAGACGTGAATAAAGCTGAAGAGACCAAGCGAATACTTTGCCGGGTATGAGAGTCGAATACATCAAGTGACAGCAAAGCGACGGAGTCATCTGGTCCTCGATTGCTCAAAACACGAGCCACCTTGTGATCTTCAGCTGGGGTGTTGAAGACGTATGCGAAGGCCTTGTTGGTTGCCCACCGCGTCTAAACGAATGTGACTTCAAGCGCTGGACAACACCAGCTTCAGGCATTATTCTCGTCAAGACGCGATTCACGTAGCCGTGGATTCCAGTAGTGTCGTCAAGCGGCTTGTTCTCATCTGTGGTGGAGTTGAGTGGAGCGACAGCTTCTGGGTTATCGATCAGATCGATCAGTGGTGCTGCCGGAGTCAGGGAAGCTTCGGTCGCCACTTGTTGTTCAGGGAGGTGGTTTAGCAGCGCAGCCGCCGGTGCCGATTGAGTTGCAAGGGCCACAGCGATAGCTAGCAGCGGACACGTGGCGAAGTCGTCGTCGGGAAAAAGGGAGAGACCTTGTTCTTCGGACGTCTTGACACGGATCAGCCTCAGGAAAAATATTCCCCCCGAACCGATGGATAAGTTCACCTTCCGGAGTAGCGAGATGTCAGAGGCTCGGCCAAACAGAAACCAGAGCAAGCACAGCAGCGCCGCGTCTTGGTAGTCCGAAGCTGTTACACCATTTGAATAGAGGTACACCATCATCTGCTTGAGTGCTTTCTTCGTGCATGCAGGTGCCTTCTTCATAAAATTGCCAGACTCTCGCTTCATGCAAAAGCGCTCAAGCACTTGACCCTTCTTCAGGAGAACCTTGCCGACAGCCTCTCGATGCTGTGGGAACTGATCAAGCAACCAGCTTTTTGCCTGTTGGTAGTACTGCATGACTGAGTGCCTAGCCAACAGGCTGCCCTTCCGTCCTTCCTTGAAAGCGAGATGCATTCCAAACTTGTCCACCACGGCCTCCAAAACGCGGGGAGCGTTGTCGCGCTTCATGCACACCTCTAGGTACTCCCATGTCACCCCTTCTTCCTCAAGAAACGCTTTGAACATGCGTGCCGCGCCCGTGCGCGCTTCGTGTTTGTCGGTGCGAGGTCGCTCAGACTCATCTTGCGTCGGAGGGGTCGGAGCTCGCGTGCTATTTGCAAAATATGCTAATGAGTGGAGGTTTGTATGCTGATATCAATTACACAAGAGGGGCCTCCGACCCGATATGTCGGAGCTGCCTCTTATCGACCTATACTGACCCTATCGTGCTTCGATTAGTCAAAATATTGGCACAGTCGATGTATGATTCGTCCAAATACGGGCTATCCTTTCTGATTGGCCATTAATACTAATATTCTATTCAAGTACGGTCGGAGAAATGATGACATATCACTTTGTTTTACGAGTTTCTGAGAGCAGCTTGATGTGCTGTGTTTTACGTCAGCCATTCTCGACAAGGAACTTGGGTTATTAGACTTTTTCGACGAGTTCCGCTGTTATGGATGTGGCCATAGTTTAGGTAGTTTCTTTAGGCTTTCAATAAATTGGATCCAAATAGGCCAAATGTAAGCTGTAATACGTGTTCTTAACACGTGTATTAACACCGGTACATGTAGAGCTTTTATACATGTTCCAGATATGAAAGGTGAATACACACATGATTTTTTTTACATTTTTCGATCCAGTAGCCGTCGTTTTTACAGCGGTATTCGCTATTCTGCAAGCAGGGGTGGAACTAGCCCAAATATTTATTCAAGATATTTCCAAACCACGGCAACACTTGCTTGAAAAAATGTCGGATTTGATAGCCAAAGGAATAAGTAATAACAACAGATTTTTCCAAATCTTATCCCTTTTTCATTTTTAAAAGCGTCCTCGAGGGGACTCGAACCCCCAATCCCCGCCTTCGGAGGGCGATGCCTTATCCATTAGGCCACGCGGACACGCTCTTCTGGGAAAATTAAAGGTAAATTTATATTTTAAAAAAATTCTGCTGATTCTTGTAAAATGTGAAGGTTGGCGAAAGCATACAAGTAATGGAGTGAGTTCGGGACGAGTACTTGCTGTTGTGTGAATTTTAGTGTTCTGCGAGGATCTCGACAAATCGTAGCATAAATATTATACGTGAAGCTATACAACACGAGCAAGGTACATACAGGTACTGTAGTAGTATTACGGTACATGTGTAGGGCGTCTGTAGCGAATCGCTACTACCGGTAGCAATCTGTTCTCTCAATTGGTTTATTGGATTGGTTCAATAAGCTAATGAGGGAGCGCGGCACAACCGCCACGCGTCTACGAGCAAAACAAGAATGTACAAGGCACGCCGGTGCAGCTTCACCTTCTACTGCAGCCGCACCGCCACCTCCCTCAAAGGTATCTGCTAGCACTTGGCGCTCCTTACAGGGTGACACCCGGCACGGACGCGCCAGCGCCAGGCGTCGGGTGCGACGGATCATAAGACGGCTCAAACGAATTGCCGAGCTCGAATGACTGACCGACGGGACTGGTCATTGCCTGTGGAGAGCGTGGCACGCCGGCCACACGCATCGAGTGCTGCGACTGTTCGAGCTCAACCTGCTGCTGTAGTGTGAAGCGCGGTTCTGCCAGAATTGGCACCGAGTCTTGGCGGTTGCGCGTCTGCGGTTGAGCGCCAGTCACTGAGTCACTGCGCATCTTGGAGGATGCAGGCGGGATGGCAGCAGGGGCCGCCGTCACCGCCGACTCCTTGCGCATGGCCATAATTACCTCCTTCTGGGCGCGTTCCTCCGCTGTCACACCACCGACCATGCCGTGGTTTCCTCCTATACCGGCGGCATTTGCGTAGTTGCTCGTGTTGGAACGCGGAGCCTCGAAAAAAATGTCGCTCTGGCGATCCATGTCGTCTTGATCATCGCGCTTGCGCGTGCGAACGTAGAAGGTGATAACCAGTAGTGCAAGCACCACCACTGCAGCCACAACAACCGGCACGATCCAGCTGGACGACGAAGAGGAGCTACCGTCACCTGTACCAGCGCTCATGGAACCACCCGAGCTAGGCGCCGCTGTGCCATATATCGACGTGGTCGAGGACGAGTCCAGCGCAGAAGATTGAGTGGTATCTGTCGATCCAGAAGTCGCAGCCGCCACCGTAGCCGTTGGCGTCTGTGTTGCTGCATTGGGGGCCTGTGTAGTCGGTGTAGGCGTCGCGGTCGTAGGCGTCGGAGCGGGTGTCGTCGCTGACGAAGCCTCCGTGGTGGCGCTCGGAGCCTCTGTAGTAGTGGTCGGTGTCTTGGTAGTCGTCGATGGGGTCTTGGTAGTCGGTGTAGGCGTAGGAGTTGGCGCCGTGGTGGTCGTCGTGGTCGTCGAAGTGGCTAACGAGGAGTCGGTATCATCATCTGATGACGAGTCCGTCGTTGCCGTTGCTGTCGTTCCCCCACCAGTGGCGGTGGTGGTGCCTCCTGTGCTGGTAGTCGTGTTGCTAGTCTGCGCCGTGACGAGTGCCAAGGCGCACAGCGCCAGCAACAGCAGCGCGCAGAGTTTTCTGGCGCCCATACCTACTTGTCTGTGTGTTGTGTTGACGCGAGCCTAGTCGCCACTGCTAGCTAGCTACCTGTGTCTTCTGCTGTCTACCTTCCGACCCTTCCGTCTGGGCCAGGTGAGGCGAATACTCCGGGTAGGTGGAGTGAGTGCTTGTAAAGCGAAGTGCTGGGGTCTTGGCCAGTGGGAAAGTCTTGCGCCACGCGGAATGAACGGCGAGCACAGGAGTCCAATAGAGTCGGTCAGGTAAAAACCTGCAAAGGCGCAACCCGACAACTGTGACCCAGATGGCAGCGGCGATCGCAAAATGCCACATGGGTTCCAATTTAAATGCAATTTGGCACCCAAAAGCAATTCATTAAAAAAGTTGAGCAGCTTCAACTTCACCAAACCTTGGAGCCGCGGATGTTAAACTTTGGCCAAAGCGTACGATTCCCAGCACTCTTATTAACACATGTAATTTACATGATGTAATTAAGCGGATGAACAACATACCGATTGAATGTACAGTACAGGGTTAGAACAGTCATTGACTAACTGCACTTTGCGAAGTGTACATGATGTAACTATTGTAGGCGACATTGAACATTGGGCCAGAATCTAGAGAGGCATAAGAGGTCTACATATTTAGATATAGGGTGCAATCATGCGTTTAGATTTCGATTTTGTGGTAATTTTTAGCCAATTCCCAGGCTACAGTCGTTTAAAAATGCCTTCTCAGAACACTGTCATTTTCGGGGGAAAGGCGCGCCAAATACACAGATATGATTGGTCTAGAATCAAATTCATATGTCAAAAAGGAAGATGACACATCGCCCGGTCGCAGATTGCCCTTGTCGATTTAGCATTCAATTCTGCCAGCAGGATGGTGAAAAAAATTATAAAGGTATCCGTCAGGTCATAATCTCGCTTTCGACCTCTGTCGTTTCCACTGGGCTTTGTACAAATATTAGTTTAAAAAGGAAATGTTACCATATCAGTTATAATTGATATACCTCAAAATCAGTGTCTGGGTTATTCTTTTTCTCATTAACCACGGAGTCAACGGTATTGGGAGCACAACCAAGGCAATCAGAGACCAGTTGGCGTGTCCTGATGCCTTTGAAGAGGCCTTGTTCCTTCTGGCTTTTGAAATACTCGTAGCTGTTCACAATCATCCGCTTCTCTCCTGGGCAGAACTCGTGCTTGCCGGACATTTTCGCTGACCTTAAAGGATGCTTCTGGCTAATTGATGAGTTCTACCGCCCTCTCAAGACACTAAGTTATATATATAGCACTTTTATTTATATCAAACAGACAAGTATTAGACTTTTTACAGTCTGTATAGTATGGGTTACAATTTCTGGCCCAATGTTCAATGTCGCCTACAATAGTCAATCACGGTGGCAATTCGGCACCCATCTGATCCCGAGATGTGACACTGCAAGTAACGCATGTAAATACTTTGAGCCCTGAATAGTTTCCATGCAGATGCCGCTGCCTTAGCCTTTTAAAAATCTAGTACAGTACTGCACCCCGTTTTATCGCCCTTGGACCTCTGATAAACTTCCGGATGTGATGATTCTGAATCCAAATGAACGATTATTTGTAAGCTAAAACTGATTTATTTGCAAATCCTATATGGTCCACCCCCGCGAAAACGGGTGCAGTACTGTAGTAGTATCTACCGGCAAGGTACCGGCGGACCGCCGGTAACGCCGGCGGTATTTAGCCAACAAGGAACTGGTGCTTCGAAGCAAATGGTAGCTTTAGCATTTCCGGTTTAGGCCCTACGGTAACGGCTCCACTACAGTTGTATTGAATGAATACTAGTGGATAATTGATGTCGCGAAAATCAGCTCTCAGCATTCGAGCACGCGGCAGGCCGCAAGGAAATAGCGGTTCGGCAGTCCAAGCCTCGATCGCAGCAGACTTTGTCGAATTCCACCCCTCCATGTCGCTTGAGCATGCACCAACGCTGGCCGATTGTCTCGCAGTGTCGTCAGAACTCATTCCAAACGTCAAAGCTCAGCCCGTGTGCGCACCTGAGGCAAATGAAACAACGCTGGAGAGTGTCCTAGCAAATCGCCATCACGTGTGGACCAAGGTGACTGAGGTGCGGCATTCGAACTCTTCCCTATCGAAGTGGTACCTCTAAACTCTCCGAACTGATCGGCCACCTTGCAAATTACAATAGGTAATCGAGAAACTAGGGTCGACGGAAGCCTATCAAGGAGACGTTCATGCCCTGCAAAAGTTGCTGCAGCTCCACATTCTGTGCAATATCCTTCCAATATTTCTCTGCTTGTTCACTTTAGCTAAGCACGTACAAGCTAGTTTCTGTAACTACAACGCACAGCAGCGCGAGACGCATCTTCGCACTCTCCAGCTTACTCTTATGCAGGAAGGACGCGTTCTTCCACGCGTTGAGGCAGTCAAGACGATAATTCCCAGCGACAAGTAAGCACCCTCTTTTCCAAAATGCCAATTAACGTGGACCATTACCAATTCCCACACTGTGAACGCAGCAGTGACAACGAAGACGATAAAGACGTCGACCCACCAAACACGTTCCACGAGTGGCCAGAAGAGCAAGAACGGCATCTTGAAATTGTTGACTATGACGCCATTGACTTGATCGAGTTATCAGAACACTTTTCGTAACCATGAATTAAGTCCCCCCCCGGTAGATAAATTGAAAATGCCGAGAGCTTAAATTGGCTCTCCATCCAAGTCCTCTTCATCCATTGGAGCGCCATCCAAATCCCCGCCATCGAGTGGTTCTCCATCTAGATTGTCTTCAGTCGTTCCCCCATTTAACGGTTCTCCATCTAGCGCTTCGTCTTTCATCGGCTCGCCATCAATTTCATCGATTTCTTTTATGATCGGTTCGCCGTCTAAATCTTCATCAATAGGCTCGCCGTCCAAGTCACCTTCGTCTCCATTTTCTTTGCCCATTTCTTTAGTAGTCGCTGCTATTGGATCATTGAAATCAACCTTGGGTAGAGTCAGGGTGGCAGTTTCCCTCACGCTGCTCTTGGTATTTGCCTGGACGCAGTGCTTTACTGGTTGTCCAGCAGCAGTTGGTGCCGTTGGAGATGTGAACTCCTTCAGCCATTGCAATCGAGCAGCCAGCCTCTTTGCGTCTCCAGTGGCCATAATTCCCGACTGCCGGCATGTTTTCCGTAGCCGCTCTACATCTGATTCCCCAATGGCATCGAACTTCAGACTGCGTGCAGCGATATACTCGTCCTCTTCCACTTTCCGTAGGAATGTCGCATGGAGCCCCACGAGCACGGCAGGGGGGAACAAACTCCAGTTTTCCCAAGCTGTCAGCACATTCATCACCTTGTCCTTCATCGCATTCGCAGACATGCGGCCGCCAATGCTTCTGTGTGCAACGCGTAGTGTGTCCATAATCTCTGGTAAGCACTCTTGAAATGTCGTACGGAACAGCGACGCGTTCTTGACTGCAGCCGAGCTGTTGTGCAAGATGTCGGACGCCACGTACAGCAGACCAACAAGCGCCACGCCCGACGAGGTCGCAGTTTTGAAAGAATCTAGAATGATGTTGACCAGATCCACTGCCGCCTCGGAATTGTCCAAAGCGAAACCCATCGTCTTTTTCACGGCTTCTCGCTCCAGAGTCAGGTCCTCGAGCAATCCCTTGAAATTGTCGTAGTCCTCATTCGACAAGCGACTTCGCTCTCGTCCTCTCTCCATGTCGCGAGCCCGTGCAATTTGTTGTCCTGTCAGCATTTTCTCATCCTTTTCCACGTATCCGTGGCTGAAGCCACTTTGGATATCTGCTCGCCAATTTTCGCGGCTTAATTCACGCCGGTTGCCATCACGCCGATTGTCATCACGCTGCCGGTCTTCCTTGCGAGGACGCGAACGTGAGCGACGACGACGTTTTCGAGAGATCGAGTCATCTGACGACCACGAGCGACTTCGACGAACGCGACTCCGACTTCGACTACGTCGCCTGTGGGAGTGGCGGCGGCTTCTTCGGTTATCGCGGTCATCATCAGAACTCCTTGTACTACTACGGGAGCGATGACGACTGCTGCTTCGGCTTCGTCGCCGAGATCTTCTACGACTTCGGCTGGAACTTCGTGATCTGCTTCGACTGAAGCTCCGACTTCTGCAGTGACTCCGACGTTGAGAGGCACTTCTATCGTGATGACTAGACTGTCCAGAAGATCGAGAGTGAGAGCCTCGTCTCCGACCCCTAGGTGACCGGGAAGGCATCTTGGGCGGTACCCAAACAGGGCCGTCGAGTGTCATCTGGAACGGTTTTTCACGCCACGTGTACTCGTCATCCCCCATGGCGAACGAGTAGACTCTCCATCGGTAGTACAGAGCTAAAGCAGACTGGGGCTCAAAAAAGAAGCTGTAGGCCGAGTTGTTTGCTTCTCGCATGCGCACTGCATTCTCAAACTGGAGTCCGTCCGCTGCCACATAATGAGCCAGATGGTCCACACGCCGCCTCGCCTCTTGGTCGGTAGGTATATCGATTGCAATCGTCTGCTTTCCGTTTAAATCGCCATCGGGAGTTGGCACAACAGTAGATACAGTGGTGGTAGCTAATGGATGGAGCACTGCGGATGGAAGTAGAAGTCCGGGGGCGCTTCCCCGAGGTTGGATTTTCACTGCTTTACCCCACCCGACAATCATTGGCTGGCCTTCCAGCTGCAATACATGGACATTGCATTAAGAAAACATTCGGGGGCTGAGCATGACAAGGTATTGCAAAAACAAACCCACCTGTTTGTTGTCCAAGTTGACGCGAGCATCGTCAGCATCTCGACGCTCGTAGAAACTGACAAATCCGCAGTTGCGTTTGCGCGCGCGTTCTTCTTCTGATCTAGGCCACATGATCTTGACGGAATATACCTCTCCATAGCGCCCAAACTCTGCCTACAGTCGAGCAAAGCATTCATTAGCCATCCTTCCACTTCACTGTAGCGTGCCCTAGCTGCCACACACCTGTAAAACTTCCTCTGTGACAGTCGGTGCCAGATTCCCAACATACAAGTTGGTCGTCTCCGGGTCTCCATTATCGAACGATCCTTTCGCTAAGCCAACACCTTCCATCGAGACAGGCGCAGGCCCTCGCTCCTTCATCTCCTCCAGAAACTCATCGATAGCTCGTCGCTTTTTCGGTTTATGCGTTGTTTGGGCCTCTTCTCTCCGATCAGCGTCTTTTTGCTTAATCTGCTGCAACATTTGGTCCATTTCTGATACCTTTTTCCTCGTCGCAGAAAAAGGAGCAGCCTGCTCCTTGCCTTTCAGTCTATATACATCTCCACTTTGAGTTGGCAGCTCGCTGTTTCCCTGGGCTGCCTGCGTTCCCGATCTCACAAACGCTTTGCCTTTCGTCTCGTCCTCATTGTCGAAGGACGCAACGAACGTCGCGTAGATCTTGGCAGCTTCCTCATCTGCCTGTCGCTTTTTAGCCTCACGATCTTCTCGCTCCTGCATTTTTACTTGTGTCGTCAGTGAATTAAGCCACGAATTAGCACGGCCGTTAGCGCCGCCAAACCTTCTGGAACTTGGTCTTCTTCTGGTGGCCCAGCACGAAGCGCGCCAGTTTGTCGTCCGTGAGTGACGTCAGAGAGCTTGGCTGCATCTCCGTCTTCTCCATCCCCCACGGCAGCGGCGACTGAGCTGGGCCCTGCGCGAACGGTGCCGCTGGAGCGTCCTCCTCGGAGTGTCTTCGTCCCATGGTGCGGTGATGTTTGAAAGTGGACCACCCAACGAAAGGTCTTTCCGGTATTTACGGATTTGTTTACGGGACAAAGTAATGGGAAGCCTTCGTGATTTTGCAGTTTATTCGTTTTGGTCGCTTTGCTACTCCGCCCAACGTTGTGTGGGGTCACTCGCACTACAGAATGCCACACTTGACTGTAATCCGACGCCTAGTCCTGGCGCGACTGCAGCTTCTTCGATGTAATACCCTTGGGTGTGATGATGTGAACGACAGCACCCCAGCCCGAGAGAGCGTCACGGTTGCAGGCAGACAGCAGGCACTGCGAAAGCGTCTCGAAAAGATCCTCCTCCTCCATATCAGGCTTGTACATGGACTCGCACATGCCGTAAAGCGCCTCCTCCATGGTCCCGGCCACCACGAAGTCCTTCGTCATCATCTCACATCCCAGGCAGTCCATGCTGGACAAGAAAGGCTTGTTGTCCTCAGTCAAACCGGCGATCACAGGCTCTACGAACCACGGGCCGAATCTCTTCTCGTACATCATGTTGGACAGCAGCGCGCTCAGCGTTTTGGGCTTGATGTCGCGCTCCTCGTTCATCTTGTACATGTTGATCTTAAATTTAAGCAGCTGCGACACAGACTGTACGTCGGTGGCGAGGCCAGCCAAGCCCAGGAACGTCTTGTCCGTCACACGAAACACCTTCTGGAAGTCCATGGCCACAGTCTGTGCCTGCATGCCCAGTCTGGTATCACTGTTAGTTCATAGTAAAATAGTATGTTAGCACTGGCACCTGAAATTTAGCTAGTGGCGGCCTATTATTGCCAACATGGGGCTTTCAGCGTACCATGCGATTCCGACGCAATCTTTGCCCGCCATGGCGATGATCGCCGCTCCATTGTACGACAAGATGGACTGTTGCACGCAACAAGGACACAGGTAAACAGCAGATAGGTCACTAAGTCTTCGTGCAGATAACAAGAATGGCGGTTGAGTCGTACCATGGTGTCTTCAGTAGGGACGCAATTCTGTAAGATTTCTCGCTGTTTCAGAGGGGGGAAGAGTAGATCTTACGGATGTTGCACGAACACTGGAGCAACAATTTTCTACAAGAAAGTAATTTTAAGAAAGTATTTCTTTAAAAAGAAATATGTTTAAGGCCGTGTTCGGTCTAAGCTACTACCTCCGTTCTGAAAAAGATAACCATTTCAAATTATATTACAGCCTACCTGTAATTGTTATTAAAGAGCTGGAATGTCTCAACCAGCTTTATTCCGCTAAGAAACACAAAAAATGGTATCCAGCAGGATAGCTCCAAGCGACTGGTTTCAAAATTCAGCTCTGGGTTGAACATTGATTCGACCTCCTTTGCGCCTTCAAATCCAGCCTTTTTCTGATGGAACACGATCACTTATTTTATCTTTATTTTACTTAGCAAAACGACTGTTCTACAGCTCTAGCTTATTTTCGAACAAGCTGGATTTGCCCCTGCAAACCGAACACGGCCTAATTTCTCGCTCATATGATTTTATTTCACTTCAAAAAGTTCATATTTCTTAGGAATTTAAGAAGTTACGGGTACTGATTAGATAAACTTACTTTTTTAAGATATACCACAAAGATGTAAATTTCGAAGAGCAAAGCAATTTTTAAATGAAAGAGTTTGTTTCTGTTTCGTCGCCAAAAAGGCAAGTATGTACTCTGCAAGCAACGATGGCCTTGACACCACGATGGACGTTTCCTTTCTAGCGTCTTTATCAGAAGCCGAAGAACTCAACTTTGTTCTAGATTATAGTTCGGTAAGCAGGTCGAGACGAAGTAGAGAGAAGAAGAAGAAGTTACTTGTATGCGTCAAAAGACAAAGTGAGGTAGATTAGAGTTGGCTCACTACAAGCAGGCTGTCTAGCAGCAGACTTAGGATGATTGGCTTTAGGAGAACTACACTGGTACAGACTATAGCATTGTTACATCTCGACTAACAGCTTTAAAGAGACTTTTTGTATCGGATCATCAGCTTCCAGAGGTAGCTGGTACAATATGCCGTTATGCAAAGATGCAACCATTGACAGCCTCCCTGCATCTTTGCATACTTTGCTTATCACCGAATGCATTCAATATTACAGGTCTGGGAAGATTCTCTTTGCAAACGCCTCAGTCTTCATAGTCGTCAGCCGAGGAAGCCCCGAGTTAGCTGCTCCAACTTTGCCCATTCAATATTGCTGTCTGGGAAGACTGACTTCGCGGGCAGGCCATGGTAACGATCTTGAAGACTGCTCGTTTCGCAGCACCGGTGCCGGGCACGCCATCAGCGCCGAAAGGCCTGGAGAAACGGAAGTTCGGCAGTGCAGCCAAGATCCGACAGCACAAGCGGGCGGCAGCCCGTAAGAGGAGCCAAGGTCCTGGTGCCGAGCTCAGCGTGAAGGCAGAGTGCTTGGTGACCAGAGGGCATGAGTCCGCGGGGGCCGGGTTGAAAAAAAAGGAAGAAGGCCGCTGAGGGCAAGCCAAAGAATGCTGTTGGTGGCTTGCTTTCAGAGGCCCTTCGAGCCGCCATGGCCGAGATCACTGTAGAGCCTGCTGCAACAACAGCCACAGTGAGCGGTGCAGCGTCGTGCAGCTCGCGCAGTGGCACAGGAGCGTCGGCGAGTGAGCCGACAGAGCATCTCGCTGCTGCCACGGCAGATTATTCTTACGTCATTGAAGCGAGGGAACGTAGTGACGTGGGTTTAACCTCTAGCACCACAGACCCGACTGTAGCTCAGATCTTGACGGAACTTGCGGGTTGCATGACCGATTAAGCCAAACATCACGAAGAGGTAGAGCAGGCGGCTGGTAGAACAGGCCAGAATTCTCGGAAAGCCCAGACTACTGCCAGCGATTAGAGCGTTACTGCTAGTGCACAGATACCTTCTGTCACCGTACTGGCTGCAACCACCGAGCGTGCAGCTACTGCCACCATTCTGGCCACTTCTGACACCGAACTCTCATCTGATGATGAAATATATTATCCGATATACGGCAAGTACTATAGCAGTAAGCAAGTGACTGTCACAACTGACTATGCAGCTACCACAAGGACCTGGAGCGTGGCTCGTATCAATGATCCCCGTGATTCTCCTCTTGGTCCAGAGTATCATGTGTTGTGGGTCAAACATCTGCTTGTGAATCGACGCTACTATCAGCGCACATGAGAGCCTCGTCAACAGTTGCTGGACGATAATTTCGCTGAGGGGTTGGACCTCGTGGATCGCTCGAAGGCTTCCGATGTGAAAAAGTTTAAGGACTTCTGGCCTAAGGGTGAATACGGCAAGCGTGCAATTGGTGCTGATGCTCGAGGCCTACGCATGTTCACTGCATTGAAGCGTGCTGCCAAGCTTGCTGGGCGATCGGACATCGTGACGCAAGATGATATTGGTACATTCGTTGTTGATGAACTTCAAGAGCGTGGAGTGGACCTCACACGGGGTACTTCGTGGAAGATAGTCCTTAGGTTCCTGCGTCGACTTAGGGATGCTAGACGTGATTTTATCTTCAAGGCCATCGACAAAGACAACTTCACCATAGCTGGACGCCGTGGATCACATATACTGGAGGAAGTGCCTCTCCACAACGGACTTTACTTCGTTGTTGCGTACAACCACAGTCTCGTTGGACACGCGTTCGTGCTCAGAATTCAAGGGAAGAAGAGCAAGATCCGGCAGATTTTTTTCGACTTGAAGGGTCCCAAACCAGTGTCGTCGGCGATAATTGGATCACCTTCGTGGCCTGCATTCGTCCTTTCATTGTCTTCAAGAAGAAGTAGATGGATAGAAGTCAGTAGGGATTTCTGCGGGTTTGTCTTATCGATAATGAATGCTCACAGCAAATTGTGTCTGCATGGATGCTGAAATACATATGCATTTTTTATAATTCAAAACAGGACCAGGAAACCTCGGCGAGGAGAAAACCTTAATGCTAACAAAAGATAAAACCCAGTGGAAAAAAAAGCTAAAGGAACGCAATTTAAGTAGGCATGCTTCATGTATCAGTGTTATTTTCGTACTCTATACGGAATGGCTAGTTTTATAGCTTCAAGGGACTTCATCCTGAGCTTGGCCCTTAGTTCTCTGAACTGGTGCTTGTCTAACGCTTTAGTAAAGATGTCAGCTATCATTTCTTTCGTATTGCAGTAGGTGACGTTGAATTCATGCCGCTCTACTTTTTCTTGTACGAAACAGTATCGTACGTGTATATGTTTTGATCGTCCGTGAAGTTCGAGGTTGTAGCAGATTTTGATGAAGCTCTGATAATCCTCGTATATAGCATTAGCCTCCGTTGTAGTAAAGCCAAGTTCTTTGAGGAGAAGCTTGAGGAATATCATTTATTGCATGCAGTGGCATAGGGCGATATATTCTGCCTCTGTTGTAGAGATAACTACAGTATGATGTTTTTGCGAAAGCCATGAGATAGGACTGCCTGTAAGCATTGTCACGTATCCTTTAACGGAGCGTCTCGTGTCGGGACAGTTGGCGTAGTCAGAGTCACTGTAGGCAATCAGCTGATCGGCTAGATTTTCCGGGGTAATATCGGTCGATCCTCCCAGAAGAAGATCATATTCTTTTGTTCCGGATACATACTTTAGACCACGGATGACTGCTTTCCAGTGATGCATACCTGGATTCGCTAGGAATTGGCTGACCTCTCGCATGTAAAATGCCATGTCAGGTCGAGTACCGACCATTAAGTACATGATACTGCCTACGGCTTGGCGATACGGAATCGATTTCATCGGATCTTTCTTTTGCTCACTGCTAGGCCGGCTGCTTACGGAGAGTTTGGCGCTCCGTTCTGCTGGTGTTACAATAGGCTACGGAATGTAGTCGCTGAAGCGGTCAACGACCTTCGTAGCGTACTTATGCTGCTGGATAAATATCGCTCGATCCTTACGGTCACGTTGATTGGTCCAGCCGAGTAAGTACTTCACGTCCCCTTCATCTGACATGAAAAACCACTTTTTCAGGGCTGATTTCAGCTGATTGACGAGTGCTGGTGTTGGCGCAATGATCAGTAAGTCATCGACGTACACTGCAATGTAACAGGTGATGTCACCAATTGTGCGTCGAAATATACATCGATTTTAAATAAGTGTCAGGAACCCAATACTCTCTAGGAAGGCAGCCAGAGTTTGGTACCAGACACGGGAAGCTTGCTTCAGTCCGTATAAGCTCTTAAAAAGTTTACACACTAGATGCTCTTTGCCCGGGATTTTGAAACCTTCCGGTTGAGCCATGAAGATCTCCTCTTCCAAATAGCCATTCACGAATGCTGTTTTAAAATCCATTTGGTGAGCTTCAAAGTCGAGAAGAGCTGCAATAATTAGAAGTAGTCTAAGTACCTCCATCCTAATGACAGGATATAATATATCGTTGAAGTCGATGCCATATTCCTGAAGGAATCCTTTGATCACAAGACGCGCTTTAAAGCGGTCGATTTCGCCAGTGCCGGTATACTTCACAACAAAGACCCATCGGCTACTAAAAATATTCCTTCCTATAGGAGGGGATACCAACACCCAAGTGTGATTGTCCATGAGGGACTTGTATTCCGATTTAGCTGCTTTATGCCACTGGTTAGCGTGGGAAGACTTCATTGCCTCCCGATACGTAGTGGACTCAGACACATGCCGAATAGCTAGTATTGTGCATTTCAATGCTTTTGTCCTTTTCACTGAGCCTGATGCTCGATTTATAATAAATAGAGGTCGTTTTATTAAATCGAGGTCTATAAAAGTACAAATCGATCTTGCTAGACTGGCTGATAAATCGAGCTACCGCAGCCAAATCGACCGTTCGGGATCGATCAACCACCAAATCCACATCGATATCCTGTAAATCGACCCTTTTTGCCGTTTTGAAATGGTAATTCTATCACAGATTAAACAAATCGATGCCTGCGTCTTCCAATCTCATTTTTACGCATGGTTTTATGCTCCGACCATGCTCGATCTAGGCTATAAAACGGATGGACATTCCATCTGCAAAGCACAATAGTGTGTATAGTACATGCTGACGTTGCTCCTGTTCGTGTATGTCTTCCTCAGAGTTGAGGATTACGTCATTGGCTTCCTCAGAGCTTTCAATGGCTTCCGCAGAGAGGCGGGGTCGCTTAGGAGTCGAATGATGCGGAGGATTAGAGTCCGTCACCGTTCGAAAAGAATAATGTATGGCTGTTCGATCAATAGCCTCCCTCAGTGAGGGAAGTACACGTTGGTTCACTGTGCCTGGCGCTGTTGTCATTGCAGGGCCTGATGTGGGTGACGGTGTGATCACTGGTTCTGACACATGTTCAGGCTCCGGTGCTACTGTAGTAGCAGTTGCAGGTGGCAGAGGTACAGGTACAAGTGTAGCGGTAGATTTCTGCCGATTCGTGGACTGTGTGGGCTCTGGAGTAGACGTCAGGCCTGTGAGAGAGGGAAATTCGTCCTCTTTAAAAACTACATCACGACTGTAGATAATTGCATGAGTATTGATGTCCATCAGACGGTAGCCTTTCTCATGGTCAGGCACACCAAGATACATGCACAAACGGGCTCTAGCGTCGAGTTTGTCTCGGTATTGCTCCGTGATGTGGACATATCCGCTGCATCCGAATACTTTGATGTACTGCATGGATGGAATACGGTTGTGCCAAAGCTAATACGGGGCTCGTCCATCCGTCTTGGAGCTAGGAGTCATATTGATGAGAGTGGTCACATGACAGACACACTCGGCCCATAACTGCTTCGGTAGCTTGCCGTCAAGTAGAAGGGCTCGGACACGCTCCATAATGGTACGCATGCGGCGTTCTGCAACTCCGTTTTGCTGAGGTGTGTATGCATTGGTAAACTGGGCGTGAGTTTCATACTTTTAAAATATGATGCAGCCAAGCTGCTCGTACTCTTTAGCGTTGTCTGCTTGAAGCCGCTGAATCTCAAAGTTACCCTGGTTTGCATTGTCTTCAGCACTGAACGCGTACTCTATGACATATATATATATTGTCTGAAAATATACAGGGCTTTCTTCCTGAAGTCTTCGTAGCAGTCATACAACTCGCTACGTTTCTTAATTGCATAAGTAAACATGAATCGAGAAAAGTCATCGATGAAGATCAAGAAGTAGCGACAACCAGTAAGGCTAGGCACATGTAGAAGACCACAGATATCTGAATGGGCTTTTGACAAAGGTGATGTAGCACGTTTAACAGCTATATTAGAGAAAAATGGGAAGCGGTGTGACTTCGCTAGCGTGCAGGCAGCACAAAAGAAATCTATCTTTGGACCTAGAGGTATAGATCCATCGAGTCCATGTATGGCCTGGTTCCTAGATAGGTCATTCAAGACACGAACGTTAGGGTGTCCAAGGCGTTTTTGTAGGAGCAGAAAGAAACGTTGCTTACCTGAGGCAATGAGAGCCGCTGGAGGTGCCGCTGGTTTGGCTTGGAGCTGATACAGATCCGAAATAGTAGCCATAAGCGCTTTGATCTTGAAGCGCTGGTCAGTTTGCATATAGCACTCTTTGCGGTCAAAGCTGAAGCGAAAGTCGTGTTTCACAGCTGCTGGAATTGATAGCAGACTGAATTGGAGCTGGGGAGCATACAGGACGCTACGAAGGATAAGCTTCTGCATAGTGCCCTTGGAGTCAGTGACTTCCAGATCGACCCGTCCAATGCCTTCGATGGGGATTTGGTTATTACCACCAACCATAATTGATCCACCACTGGAGGTGATGTCGGTATCCCACTGAGACTCATGCGTGACGTGGCGAGTGCAGACAGAGTCGATCGTCCAGGTGGGGTCGGGTTCTACCTTGGCCTAAGCAGTGAGGCTAAACAGAGGATTGACTGTGGTAGCAACAGCGATGAGACCGATGTCACGACGTCCTTGGGAGATTACCTTGCGGTTGTTTCCAAAATCACTGTCGTCGTCATCTTCCTCGTCATTGTCTGACTCAAGAGAGCGGTCCTTGTAGCGATCTTGGCCGCGTTGTTTGCCGCCATTTCCGTGCTTGTTCTTGCTACTACTGTTGTTGCCCTTGAAGTCGCGGCTGTTGTTATTCTTGCCGTGTCGTCCATTACCACCTTTGTTCGAGTTCTGGTACGGGTGATCGCGTTTCGAGTTACCCTTATAGGCGAAGTGAACAGGAAGTACTGTCTCAGCCCTCACACGTCCATCTCGCAAATCGTTTTGAAGGATTCGGCATTGGCGAAAATTGTGGCGTGGGCGATCACAGTAGGAGCAGACATTGGCGCTGTCACGGCCCTGAGCTTGTGTCACAGGAGGTCCGGTAGCCACTAGAGCTCTCTCACCCTTGGTTGCAGAGGTCTCTTGGCCAAGATGTAGCGCTCTTGAGCTTGAAGATCGCAAACCTTGCCTTCAATGCTCTGCTTAAGGTCTTCATACGGATATACTTCCGCTGGCCCTTCCAGATGCGGAGATCGCCCTTCCACGACTTGGGCATCGAGTGGAACAGGTAGATAGACTTCTGTCCCTCGGTCATCACCGATTCGGTGTCTTCTGACGCGGCTTTCATCGCGCTCTCAAGCTTGAGAAAGAACTCAATTAAGTCGGAGCCTTCCTCATACTTGATCTCCAGCAAGTAGTATTGAATGAAGAACGGATCACCATGAAAGGCTGCTCCCTCGTACTTCTGGCAGAGGTAGTTGAATATCTCGTAGGATGTCGTGAGATTTTTGACCAGCCGCACGTGCATGTTGTCCATCGTTTTCATCAAGAAGGCTTTGGTCTTAGCTTCTTGTCGACGGCGTTCGCGCTGGCTAAGAGGCTGGCGCTTCTCTTTCTTGGTGCGTTTGCGTGCACGGCGAGTATCGCGATGGTTAAATGGTCGAACTACCGGGAGGTCCTTCCTCGTATCGGAGCTGGCCCCAGAGTCTTCGTCCGAGTCCGAGATCAGCTTGAGCTCATCGTCGCTTTCGTCGTAGTCCACAGCGTCGGAGTCGATTTCGACGTTCTTGGTAGCGTTGGCATGCGGTTCATCGTTGACATCAGACATATCGCTGCCGCTGTATTCACTCTCATCTTCAGACACACCATCGTAGTCGGGCTGCTTCACGAAGCCGAGTAGGTGCTTGCCATCGAGTGCTGCGCACACACGGGTCTTCCAGACGTCGAAATTCTTGGCGCCGATGAGCGAGAGAAGTCGTCGCTTGAGGCTTGGCTTGGGCTCATAACCTATAGCTCGGTAAGCAGATCGAGACGAAGTAGAGAGAAAAAGAAGAAGATACTTGTAGGCGTCAAAAGACGAAGTGAGTTAGATTAGAGTTGGCCCACTACAAGCAGGCTGCCTAGCAGCAGACTTAAAATGGTTGGTTTTAGGAGAACTACACTGGTACAGACTAAAGCATAGCTATATCTTGACTAGCAGCTTTTAAAGAGACCTTTTGTATCGGATCATCAGCTTTCAGAGGTAGCTGGTACAATATGCCACTATGCAAAGGTGCAACCATTGACATAGATGAAGACCAACAACAATTTTCGTTGAAGTCAAAACGAAAGCCGAAATGATCAAACACTTAACGCGAATTCATTTATGGTGCGCTGTTTGCCCCAATTACTTCCTCCAATTGACAAGGTTTGCCAGAAGCTCCACTTTAAAGTTTTATTCACATGGCGCTATCCACCCAAGCACGGTTGACGGCTGAATCATCGTGGCCTGGTTCACATGAGTCATGTGACATGACATTGTCCGCTTTGAGTTTACGGTGACTTTTGGCTAAACGTCAGCATTTGCAGCATTGTGATTCACAATGTGAAGGGGTCCCGCATTAAAACTCAATTGAATTGTCAAGCGTCACAACGCCACAATGTTCGACACGCAAACGGTCCACAAGTCCTCCATGCATAAAGCATAGCAAAACAGGCTGCGCTTCTAGGTGGAAGACCAAGCAATGCTTGTATGCTTGAAGCATAGATAGATTCAGCAGCTCGTGAAGGAGAGCTTCTGTCCAAGCGACGATCTCTAAATTAGAGATCCGTTACGCAACAGTGCCAGATTTGAGCAAACGTTAGGTTCGTGGAATGCGCCCAATTTCTACCAATTATTTGCGCTCTTTCCCATCTCGCATTAAGCGTCGACGACACCGCCGGCGAAGCAGCTCCGCGTCCGAGGCGAACTTCCCCGCGCTACTCACATCGTCCGACTCGGAGTCATCGTCCAGTGAGTCCTTTCCTCGACGCTTTCTGGCGACCCCTTCACTGTCTCTACTGGCTCCACGGCGCCTGCGACATCGCCGTCCACGCAGCCTAAGCCCAAGGGTGCCTCACTCTGTGCGTTCTTTCGGCTCCAGCTCCACCATGGCGACGACAATGGTCCCTACGCCGCCCTACATGCTGGGTGAGCGTCCCACTCCTGCTCATGGTGGCTCAGGGGCGCCCTCTTTCCGCCAGGTGCCGTTTGTACGCGCGAGCGAACGTGTGGAGAGCGGTGTCAAGGTCCGCAAGCAACTCCGCAAGTACCTAAAGGCGGCGTCAGCCACGCAGCACATGGTGGCGCAGACCCACTTAAGTGATGCTTGTCTACCGGCATTACAGCCACAGGAAGTGGCTCAGTCTTGTTTCCAGGACTTTTTCACGCAGATGCGAACGTACAACCAGGTGCTAGGCAACAAGCACTTGGCAGCTAGCAAGGCCTACATGGATATGACCAAACCACTGGAGAATTCTGGCAAGTCGAAGCGATGGGCACGTGACGTTTACAACCTGGTGCAGCGTTGTGTGTCCGATGTGCAGCTGGCGGAGAAGAAGATGGACAAGGCACGACAACGCGTCACGCGTGCGGCGGACGAACTTGCCCATTGGAAGACGGTGCTGGCTGCGAATGAAGCTACGTATCAAGTGCAGCCAAACAACCCGGAGGTGAAGCGTGCCTTCCAGACGGCACAATACCGTTTCTCTAATGCTTTTGGTGAGGATGAAGCAGCCGGCGCTGAATACGACGACGCGAGGACAATGTTGATAAGTGCGATTGCTAGACGAGATGAGGTCGTGGAAGAGGCTTCCGAGCTCTCGCAGACTGTGGAGGAAGACCGACTCGACACGCTATTGATTGTTATCGGGCAGTTCGTGGAGACCAAAGTGGCGATATTACAGGCAGAAATTGAAGCGATGGCGGATCTGCAGCGAACACTTAAAGCCATGGACCGTGACTCGGTGGTGCAGCAGTATATTGTGGATAGTATGACTCCAGAACTTACACACCGTCATGCCAAGGCGCTAGGTTTGATGGAGTGGCATCGTGTGTCGTGGCGCTACGAACAGCAATCGCGACATTCGGCTGAACCTGAGAGCTATTTGTCAATTTCAGGGTCACAAGAGGACGTTGCCAAGCTAAAAGCTTCGGGTGTATCCGAGAAGGACGTTGAGGTTATCAAAGATTTTGTATCGAGTTGCTTCGTAGAGCCCGAAGCTGCTCTTCTCCCTTCCACAGCACTAACCTCTTCAGGTACGTCATCAAAGCACCGTGGCAAGTTCACGGATGCCTCAGCTTCAGCCACACAGTCAATGTATCGCTTAGGCGTTGTTCGACGCATCATACTGGATTGCCTCACACATCAGAGAACTCACGATCGCGAATTGACACGTGAGGGTTTTTCGAGACTTGCAGCGGCGCTGCGTTTGCTGCTAGATGCATGTCTTGCGCAGCATGACACACGGTCTACCAAGCACCTCATGAACATGCTGCAGACTTTTTACCGTAAAACCAGCAAGGACGGGCAGGAATATCTCCATGTTGCGCTGAAAGACCATGCGGCGTGGCGTGTAGCAGCCTTCTGGGGAGACGCGCTGCTAGAAAGTGTGGCGGAGGAACTCAGGAAGACGTCGACGGACACGCCGTGGTATTTTCTGCCTGACCCTGAACGAGCGCATAAGGTGCTGGAGGTCCACAACATTGTTTACGGACAAGCGTCGGCCTACTTGTACCATCTCTCTAGCTTTGGTTTTACGCGACGACAGCTTCTTCAATTCGCCCGCAATGTGTGTTTTGCTTATGAACTAGGCGAGGACCAGCGCATTAGCTTGCTGTCGTCAGTTCAGGGTATGGCGCTGGAGCGATCGCAAGAGGACGAATACGAGGAAAAACGAGAAGAGCCCATGGGAATGGCAGATGATGATTGGCAGCGTCCTTCTGAACGTGATAGCGAACTCTCTGGACGCAGTAGCAGTAGAGTCCCTGCTGCGCGAACGGCCGATGTGCAGTTCACATCCTTCACGCTACCCGACTGGTCGTCATTCTCAAGTGGTCGAGGTGCAAGTGGTGCTGGCGTTGATGGCATTCTGTCGAAGTTCGGTCGTGGACGTGGAGAGTCCAGTGCGTCCAACGCAACGACTGTGATTGAAAGCTCGTCCATCACGGCTTCGTATGCTGGTAGTGTGCGTGACGTGGAGGAAATGAAGATCATTGCATCCACCGTTCTAGGTGAAGATGGTGACGAATCGTGGGAAAACCTGTTCGGCACTTTGGTCGCGTCAGGCTCTTCAGCAAGTGACGAACCGATGCCTTCCATATTAGGTATTGACGATGATTCATCCGAATCCGGCGACAGCAAGCACAAGGATAAATTGATGAAGCGACGCAAGAACTCGCGTAAATTTAACGATCAGTTACGTCTGGCGCGCAGTATTCCTCTAAGTCTCCGGATCAACGAGGAGGAAGAGAACGGGGAGGAAGCTACGGAGACATCGACAGTGTCCGAGTATAGGCAACCTCCACTACCACCTGGACCTCCACCTTCGTCAGTCTTACTGCGACATCGGTCCACTGATAATGTCTTCGTAGCTGCTCGTGAGGAGGCTAACGATCTACCGCCCATGCGCAGGAGTGCATACCACGCAGCTAGATATGACCACGGTATGGAGGACAACGGAAGCGTCAAGTCGGAGCGGAGGAGACACAGGAAATTACACAAAGCGCGATCAGCTGCCAGTATCGACACCTCCATGCTTCGAGCTGAGACCGAGCAGGTCTTCAACAGCAGTCGCTCTGCTGCCGGCCCTGCCGCTGAGATGAACCAGATCAAGACAATTGCTGCTCGGATGAAACAGAGGCGCAAGGAGAACTCCAATGGCAACATCGACTTCGTAGCGCTGACGCGTACCCAGAGTGATGCCACGGGGGCAGCGTCTCCTGCTCCAGATGCACCAAAGGAGCCTCCCACACCAGAGAAGAAAAAGGCAACGACGACACTGTCAGGCGTTGCAGCTCTCCGCGCTCGATTCGAGAACAAATGAAGTGTCTAATACAAACAAACTGATGAGAACCTCAAGTAGGTAAACCAAAAAACCCTGAACAGACAGGGACTTGAAAGGGGAACAAAGTGAAGAGCAATTGGTGACTGTCATCGACATGAGTCTCAAAGCTTTCCTCTCTCTCTAAAAGCGACCGCCAGCTTTGGGCGCTTTGCCCTGATACTTGTCTGGCATCGCAAAGTTCGCCTTGGTGTCGCTAGTGTGCACAAAGAGGCGGCCGCATACAGGCATGATGTCCCACTCGAGAGTGAGCGTCACATTTGCGCCGCGCAACTCGTCGTACTGATCGGCCAAAAAGTACTTGACGCCTTCATCCTGGAGCTGCAGCTGGCTAGCAGCTTCCATTGTCTGCACAATCTTGTCCCAGACGACCACTTGGTTGCGGGAGTTGCTGGCGGTCTCGAAGTCGGCCATTACGTACACGAAGAGCTGCTTCACGTTCCAATTAAACACGGAGCTCAGATCTACCATAATATACATAGATGTCAGTATAACAGCCCACAGAGTAGTATTTATTATAGCCAGCGAGCGCACCGGCGTCCAGGTCGAACGAGAGCGTGGCGCGGTCTGCCTTATCACGGTAGTTGCGCAGCGAGTGCAGCTTGGTCATCTCCAGACGCCTCACGACCGGCGCTGGTTCGTGCATGTACGTGCTGATGGCTGTGAGGGTACACATGATGGCCAGGGCCATCAGCGACGTAAAGAACACGGAGTTCGCACGCGTCCAGACCGAGTACATGTTGCCACGCGGAGGATACTCGCCTAATGCTAAACGTGTCGATTTGCATTAGATGTGAGACATGTGATTGGCTGAAAAAGGCGAGGAACATTTCGGAGCAAAATACAATTACATGTACCTACGGTAAGCACATGCATTGATTGTTACAGACAGCACCCACTTCGTTCTCTAATAAGCTACAGCTTTACACTGTTGAGGCGGGATTGGCAGTTGCGAGCATCACGGCAGGCGCTGGTTGTCGCTCAACTCCAGCGTTCGCTAGCTCAGCGACCAAGAGCTGTGCCGTACGCAGGCAGCGCAGGTGCATGATCGTGTTAGCAGCCACTAACAGCCCAACGAATAGCCCAGCACTGTTGGAGTAGTAGTATGTTGATTCCATGTACTCATCCTCGGCGCTGCTGTCGCTATCACTGCCGTCGGTATCCCCATAGGTGAACATGCTCCCCGAGAATACCAGCGTCACTACTAGCAGCCACATATTGAGGATCAGCATGACGTAGTTCGCCCAAATGTACCAGCGCAGCCATTTGAGCCTCATCGCGTCCACAGGCGGCCGCGAGCCATAGTAGCCCATAAACGCCGTAAGCAGACCCAGTGTGCCTAGAATAAACGGCTGCAGGAACAAGAAGGTCGCCACGTAATACGCCATCAAGCAGCCCGCCATCCATCGGCACTTTTGCAAGAATGCAAAGCGCAAATTGTCTGCCTCCCCATCGCCCGAAATTGGGGCCATGGCCATGACAGTCACGTACGGATGACTTGGGTTTGCGCTGTTGTGCCCGCTCTGATAGATGCCTTGCGGGGCGTTCGGGTTCACGGGAATGTTGCTTCCGCCCTCCCGATGCGACTGGATCTGGTTAATGTTGCCCAGCGGTTGCGCTATGGCGATAGGCGGAAGCGTCGACGCCATCTTCATCGCGCTTGGCGTCGGCTGCGCTGCCGCATACGGTGCGTTTGAGGATTGAACGTCTTCTTGGATGCCCGCAGGAGTCGAAGTCATCGTCGCGGCGGGTGTCGGTGCAAGAGCTTCATGGACTGCATCAGCTACAGGAGGAGCAGGCATCTCCTCCTGCCTTGAATTGCCTGCGGATTGCATTGTCTTCTCTGTAGTGTCGATGCCGGCGGACTCCGAGGTTTTGACTTGGGGGTTGCAAAGGGACTAGGCAAGTATTCGGACCAGATATCCAGTCCGACCTTCGAAGGGTATTGCCCAATGAATGACCGGATCAGATTTGGGTTTTATCCAATCGAGAGCCGTCAAATGTGATGCTAATGAGCACAATCGGTATCCTGCCGAATTTCATAATGAAAGGGTTACGCTAAGAACTGTACCCCTACATGCGGAAAATGACGTTCATTGCTCGACGCCACGCTGCGTCACTGAATAGCCGTCACTTTTCGCTCGCTGCACCTGGCCAACCACCTTACCGTGTCCTCTTCTTCGGCACGGACGATGTGTCGCTCGCCACACTCAAGGCGCTGCACGCCAGCAGGTACGTGCACCAATTGGATCGTGTGGCTCTCCTTTCACGCACTCAATCCTGCGTGCATGTGGACATTGAAGCAATGAAGAGAATGTGGGCAACCGTCTAATTGAGCACATTGAGGTCGTTTGTCCATCGGACCGACCCATGAACGGCCGTAAAAAGGATGAACCAGTGCCAGTCAAGAGATTTGCACAGCGCTGTGGCTACAAGGCCTACGACACGCCGTCGCATTTAAAGTCGCTTAAGACGTGGGACTTTCCTGCTACTAGTCATTTTGACGTGGGCGTAGTCGTGTCCTTTGGCTACTTTCTGGTATGTGTGGCTGTCTGAAGCGAAGATCCGAGCTCATTTGGTGACGCTATCTGGTTTTGGTTGCAGCACCCGCACATGCTGAAGAACTTGCATCATGGTGCGATCAATATGCACCCGTCACTACTGCCAAAGGTTCGTGTGTTGATAGTAAAGCTGGATTGGACCGCTGGGAATTTATTTCGCTGTTTGATGGTTGCAGTACCGGGGCCCTGCACCGATCCACCATGCTCTCTTGAACGGCGACTCAACCACAGGCGTGTCAGTGATCGAGATCGACCCGAAGGCTTTCGACGTCGGGCGTATTCTACTTCAGAAACATTACGATATCAAGCCCGGTATCCAATGCCATGAGTGTGTCCAACCCGTTTTTTCTTCATCTTTGAGGGTCGGTACTAACGAGTTTTTTTCGTGCTTTCGTGGTATAATATAGCCTTGCGAAGGAACTCGCATCGTTTGGAGCGGATTGTATCGTAAAAACGCTGGGTGATCTACCGATGCTTAAGAAGACCGCAGTGACGCAGGACGACGCCGTCGCCTGTAAGGCCCCCAAGCTGACGTTCAAGGATGGGCTTATCTTCCTTAACGAAGCAGCTAGCGACATCTTCCACGTAAGAACAGGAGTTTTTATTGCACGCATGGTTTACTATGTACTCATGTTTCATTCGTGGTTCTACGCTTATCTTCTAGCGGTGGCAGGCACTGAGCAGCTCGGTTGGAGTAAAAGTCCAGTTTAGAGGAAAGGTGGTCAAGTTGATCGAGGTCCGGCTCCCAACCGCTGAAGAGCTGCAATCTGGTGCGTTATTTCGTCAAGTATGATGACCTGCTCGAGCGTAGTATTTTAACAGCACCCCCATCTTTAGTTGAAGCCGACGAGGATCGCAACGGACCAGCAGAGGCTGGGACCTTCTTCTTCGAAAAGAAACGCCAGGCGCTCTGGCTTCGATGTGCTGATGCTTCCTGGTTGCTAGTTACAAAGCTGCAGCAAGCAGATCGCAAAGTTGGGGCCGCGCTTGATTTCTGCAACGGATACCGGCTGAAGAATATGCAGCGCGAGCGATTCGAGAGTGTTTTCACTGGACCCGTCAGCAGCAAGCTGTAAATGTGGTGGTATCACTTTGAATTGTACATGTGAGCAGCTAACGTAACACCCCCAAGTTCCCTGTACAGCACTGATTCCCACGTCAAACTAGAAATAAAACAGGTTCATTTCTGCGGACAGTTTGTACGGTACTACCTGGTATCAAATTTGCCGTTTTGGTCCCCTTTGCAGATCGTACGACCGTGACTCGTACTTCAATGGATTCTTGTTCGCAGATGCAGTAGCATCGTTTCAGATACGAAGTACTGATTTAAATATGCTTGAGTATCTGTGTAAGTACTGACCTCCTTTTAATTTATGTCAATAGGTGGGGTAGGTATTGCAATTTGCGTCCTAGTTAACCCCAGTGAGCTATTTTGGTATGATAAATGGAAGGATCAACTTTTGATGGCCTCTCTTGGAGCAACCAGAGCACAAATTGAAAAAAACTTGAGGCTCATCATGACGTTAAGACTTCGTTTAGCAAGGTTCGAGGACCTCAGCCCAAACGCATGCGCACTGATGTTGTAAAGACAAGCTTAAGTGCGACGCTTAATCTTTGCTAAAGATGGAGTTTTATCCTAGTTCCTAGGATAAACTATTATGCGGCGGACTCAGTAGACAATCTTACCGATCGCCGCAGTGGCTTTGATTTGTGTCGGGTGACTCGTCGCTCAAACTGTTCAACCGATGCTTGTGATCTTTTACGCAATGGGGGTGGAGCACGAGTTTGCCTGGACTTTGTTGCTGCTTGCTGACATGCATCGGGCAGCTTGGCTGATGAATGAAATTTGTCAAAGCAAGATTCATCGTTCTCCCAGCGTGACGTCTGGCAAAGAGCAACCTTGCATAAGGAGCATTCGTATCTAGTCTTATATCCTAGTCGATGGCGGGTAGTGTTCTCTTCACCATGATCTCGTTCACAGCACAGCACACATCGAAGTTGTTTTCCGGAAAGCAGCAACCTCTGAAGTACCGTAGTTAGTGTCAATTTTCTAGCTTCACAACCACATAATGAATGAGCTAATCATACCTCGTTGTGAAGCTCTCGACTGGACTTTCGAAGCTTCCGCCATTCGGGGTCATCGTCAAAATGATCACGTACCCGGCACGCAAACGAATGCGGCTTCAAAAAAGTGCTTCCCAGCTCATTCGCGCTCAAGACATTTGTATCAACCTCAGAAAGCGGCCGTCTCGGTGCATCGATACTGTCGTCGTCATAAGCGTTTCCTCCCAAACAGCTTGCGGCATCTCGGCAAAAATTTCGAAATGATGCATTTTTACTTTTGTGTTGTTGGTAGTTGCTGTAGGACTTGCACCTATCTTCGTCCATTAAGAACGCGGTTCCCTGAATTAAGCAAAGCATACGCAGAAATGAGTACATGTACACTGTACAGTGTATTGATTGCATGTACAACGTACGCTGAGTAACTGGGCTGACTGGAACGCGTTGTAAACTTAAGTCATCAAAAACCGCAGCCAAATAGCAGCGAGGGGTGGTAAATGCTCGTGCGATGGCTTTATATTCTTCAGGTACCGGGATATACGTCGATTCCTCCTTTGACTCGATTCCAGATCGCTATCACGCTGGGGATTATGTGTTTTGCTGCAGGTAGTGGGCCTCCACGTTCTTCGGCTTTAGCCACAACTATTCGCCATAACGCGAGATGCTGCTTCAGCGTTGATACGTCTCCACAATATCCTAATTCGTCTACTGTAAACGGCGGTACGGGAGCGTCGGGTGTGTAGATCCAGTCCATGCATGCTTCTTTGATATTCCGGAGAGCAAGTCGATAAGCATCCACAATATCGTCACCAATTACAACGTGAACGACACGAAGTATTGCTGTTGACGACGCATACACAATGAATCCATCTCTTAGAGACCCAGAAATGATGTTGTGTAGCAGCTGAGATCGGTGCCCTTGGTCGGGAATCAACGTCTTCAAGTACCGACTATCAGAATGGGAATTCAGCTCTACAGCTGCGAATTTACCGCATCGCACTGCAATATTTCGCTCTGTGTCGACAGTATTGCCTCTAGTCTTCGTTTTATACTCCAGTACAGCAACAAAACGAATCATTACTAGAAGGCCGAGTTACCAATGCGATATCATTCGGAGAAAATGCCAAATAGCGCTCGTCAGGGCTATATCATGCATCATTCTCACAAATCAATAATGGTACGTAGCTGTGGCAGTCGTTCAACGTACCAACAAAGGAGACCATAAGACTTTGTGTGAAGAATGCGAAAGTTTGAGTGTGCTTCAAGAAACCTTGGTACACGTGAGCAAATGTTTTCCTCGTTCTTAGATCAACTTTCATGTCCGTAGACGATATTGGAGCTAAGAACCAAGCGCTAAGTAGCGCTGCAGCGGGAGATTTAATCGTGTTCTTTTTCGAATTTGTGTCACTTTCCCCGTTCAAAAGACGGCCGATAAGCTCACGTTTGTTTCCTGACACTGTGAGTCCTTGATCACGACACAGTTGTTGCAACTCATTATTTTTCATTGTGCTGAGAGCCGATTCTGATGGAATCTCACTACCAGTTGAAGATCGGGATGCACCAGAGATTGAATCGGTCATAATACCTAATATTTTCTGCACCAGTTGAACGGTAGTCTGCTGCGCCAAGTTGTGATAAACACTGCACCGATTCTCGGAGGCTTGTTCTAGCTCGCCAGGACTCTCAGAAGTCTTAACAATTGCGCGGAGAATCTGAACTGCAACAAGTCCAGTAATGCGAAATTGGCGCATGAGAAACCAGTCGGGAGTTCTCTGACATTCCGTCAGAATAAGCACACGTCTTTCAAAACTCGCAAATTCGTTTCCTTGGATGTCACGATGAGCTTGTTGTGGTCTAGGCAATGGAATATACGACCATTTTCCAGGACCAGCCGATTTAAGTGAAGTGTTGCATAGTACAACACTACCAAGCCCAGAGCGATAAACCAAAGCGCACATCGTAGAAGTGCTCTCTGTAGATCTGACAGAGTGCTTCATGGTAGCCCATTTTGTAGTTTTGACACCTTTCTCCGTCATCACTGTCTGCCTCTGAGTACCAAGTTTTCCGTATGTGAACGGAAAGCTGTGATCACGTTTATGAGTCCCGATAACTATGCCGCCACACTCCATAATTTGGCGGTTTACTTCCTTGGACTGATATCCACGATCCAAAGCAAAGACAACCCCCGGGAGTTTAATTTGGCTATCCGTGGATACACCACAGAGCGATCGCATTAGAATTCGCAGCACGTCAACCACGGTCTCACCTCTGGACGCCACATGACTACACAAGAATAATCCGGTGACCAGCGACACGATGCCGTGTTGTACAGGGCCGAATCTAGGCACATGATCGTGTTAGTGCGTACTATCAGAATATATAGCAACATGTGCGTTACATGCTTGCCCTTTTGCTGGATTTCGAGTTCTCGTCAGCCCGAGATCATCAACCGATTTTGAGCGAAGTCTCAACAAATCATCATCCAGACTGGCAATCGAAACTTCGTTTACAAATCCAATTTTGGAGCACACTCGACGAATTGCATCCATTGCTTGAGATAAGTGGCGGTCCGGTGAAAATGGGGCATTCCAAAAGTCTGAAGAAGTAGAAATAGCCGCACTTGGGGTCCCACGTGCATTCAACAACGTCTACAATTCATTGCTTTGTTTGCAGGAGGATAGTACCTCTTGTTTTCTTCAGCATAGAGCTTTGTCGGCGAAATACTGTAGAAGCACAACCACAGCTCCACTTCAAGCATTTTTTTTACTTCATTCACCGTTGCAAACTCGCTGGTATCCATATTTGCATTTATATGCTGCATTGTCAGCATCAGCACGGTCGGATCTAGCCACAACTGTACGATGTCCTCAACAGGAAGTTCAGGCTGGAGAGGACGTGAACGTTTGCCGTACATACGCGCCATCAGACGCTCAGCCACCCGGGGGACCTCTAGTCTTGCCTTCGCGAGAAGGTATTGCTCCACATCATCAATACCGAGCTCTAATGACGTCTCTTCCACTTCGAGATGGTCGAACTATCAAGCTCGCCGTCATCTTCACGCTCTGATAGCAATTCTTCATCATCGGAGTCGGCCATGCTAGTTGGAGCAATCCGCGCGGAATCGCTTGAGTTGAAGGGGGCGATGAAGAGTGAATGTAGACAATTTTATCCTATCGCAAAAGAGGCCATACGATATAATCAAGCAGCCTATTTTTGGCTCGGAAATGTTTGATCCTTTCTCTTAGGATAAATTTCACTGGGGTTAAGGGTGGTGCCAATGCCAAACTCCTCTGCTTAATACTGATCATCTAGAGCGCCAAGTCCAACTATCCTATTCAAGCCCCCCATATATGTGTGAATGGGGTCTGCTATCGTACATACTCGAGTGCGTTCATCAACCATCGCATCATGGCTAAATGGCTGCGCGAAACTCACAGTTGGGGGCCAGCAGGCCCGTTCGCCAAAGAGCGCCAGTTATGACTCGATAACGCAAGTGGATAGGCAGGCGAAGAGATGCAGAAGGCTGCACGTGAGCTGCCAACGCGCGCGCGCTTTTTCCCGCCTAACACGACCGATTTTGTGCAGCCAGCGGATCGCTTTCCAATTCAGCGAATCAAGGTAAGCTGGCGGAGCCTATGTGAACGTCGCAATATGGGGGTTATTAGACATCGAGAAAGGCGCAAAGTCAAGCGGGGTCCTTGAAAGCGTTTCTTTTAGATACTGCGGCCGAGTGTATTCGTCTCTGAACAAGACGAGAACGGGGTGAGCTGGGCAAAACAATCGATGGTGTGGTGTGGGCTGGATGCAGTGGTGGAAAAGGCGAACCTTTTCGCCTTTTGAAAAGTTTAGGCGGGGACCAAACCCCTCGCCATTTTGCCCAAACGTCTTGGTTTTAGTTTCTACTACTTAGTTAACTTTCTACTATTTAGTTGCAGCATGTTAACCACACAACGAAAGAAAGTGGCGGGAGGCCCTTCATCAAAAATGTAGATTTTCTCTTCGTGCGTCGGCCCCGCTGTCAGAGCGACTCTTGAGTGTTTTTTTTCGTCGACGTCCGAGTTAGTGTACGCGCTCTGCTCTTTCCGAAGCCGCCGCAGCGTCCGCATTCTCGTACGTGGACTCATCGACGTCGGTGCTGGTGTACGTGCTCCTGTCTTGCCCGACGCCGTCGCAGCGTCCGCATCCTCGTACGTGCTCTGGTCGGCGTCCGAGTTGATTGTACGCGCTCCGGTCTTGACCGAGCCTCCGCAGCGCCCGCATTCTCGAACGTGTTCTCTTATGCGTCCGAGTTAGTGTACGCGCTCTGCTCTTTCCGAAGCCGCCGCAGCGTCCGCATTCTCGTACGTGGACTCATCGACGTCGGTGCTGGTGTACGTGCTCCTGTCTTGCCCGACGCCGTCGCAGCGTCCGCATCCTCGTACGTGCTCTGGTCGGCGTCCGAGTTGATTGTACGCGCTCCGGTCTTGACCGAGCCTCCGCAGCGCCCGCATTCTCGAACGTGTTCTCTTATGCGTCCGAGTTGGTGTACGTGCTCCGGTCTTTCCGAAGCCGCCGCAGCGTCCGCATTCTCGTACGTGGACTCATCGACATCGGTGCTGGTGTACGTGCTCCTGTCTTGCCCGACGCCGTCGCAGCGTCCGCATCTTCGTACGTGTTCTGGTCGGCGTCCGAGTTGATTGTACGCGCTCCGGTCTTGACCAAGCCTCCGCAGCGCCCGCATTCTCGAACGTGTTCTCTTATGCGTCCGAGTTGGTGTACGTGCTCCGGTCTTTCCGAAGCCGCCGCAGCGTCCGCATTTTCGAACGTGTTCTCTTCGGCGTCCGTGCTCCTGTCTTGCCCGACGCCGTCGCAGCGTTCGCATCCTCGTACGTGTTCTGGTCGGTGTCCGAGTTGATTGTACGCGCTCCGGTCTTGACCGAGCCTCCGCAGCGCCCGCATTCTCGAACGTGTTCTCTTATGCGTCCGAGTTGGTGTACGTGCTCCGGTTTTTCCGAAGCCGCCGCAGCGTCCTCATTCTCGTACGTGTTCTGGTCAGCGTCCGCGTTGATCATACGCGCTCCGGTCTTGCCCTAGCCGCCGCAGCGTCCGCATTCTCGAACGTGTTCTCTTCGGCGTCCGTGCTCCTGTCTTGCCCGACGCCGTCGCAGCGTTCGCATCCTCGTACGTGTTCTGGTCGGTGTCCGAGTTGATTGTACGCGCTCCGGTCTTGACCGAGCCTCCGCAGCGCCCGCATTCTCGAACGTGTTCTCTTATGCGTCCGAGTTGGTGTACGTGCTCCGGTTTTTCCGAAGCCGCCGCAGCGTCCTCATTCTCGTACGTGGACTCATCGACGTCGGTGCTGGTGTACGTGCTCCTGTCTTGCCCGACGCCGTCGCAGCGTCCGCATCCTCGTACGTGTTCTGGTCGGCGTCCGAGTTGATTGTACGCGCTCCGGTCTTGATCAAGCCTCCGCAGCGCCCGCATTCTCGAACGTGTTCTCTTATGCGTCCGAGTTGGTGTACGTGCTCCGGTCTTTCCGAAGCCGCCGCAGCGCCCGCATTCTCGAACGTGTTCTCTTATGCGTCCGAGTTGGTGTACGTGCTCCGGTTTTTCCGAAGCCACCGCAGCGTCCTCATTCTCGAACGTGTTCTCTTCGGCGTCCGTGCTCCTGTCTTGCCCGACGCCGTCGCAGCGTTCGCATCCTCGTACGTGTTCTGGTCGGTGTCCGAGTTGATTGTACGCGCTCCGGTCTTGATCAAGCCTCCGCAGCGCCCGCATTCTCGTACGTTGTCTCTTAAGTGTTCTCGTCGACATTCGAGCTAGTGTACGCGCTCCGGTCTTGCCCGAAGCCACTGCAGCGCCCGCATTCTCGTACGTGGTCGCTTAAGTGTTCTCGTCGACATTCGAGCTAGTGTACGCGCTCCGGTCTTGCCCGAAGCCACTGCAGCGTCCGCATTCTCGTACGTGGACTCGTCGACGTCGGTATTGGTGTACGCGTTCCTGTCTTGCCCGACGCCGTCCCAGCGTCCGCATTCACGTACGTGTTCTCTTCGGCGTCCGTGCTAGTGTACATGGTGCTGCCACTTCCCGAAGCCCCCCCCCCACTGCACCCACAGCCCCGTTGACGTCCGTGTTGGTGGAGCAAATGCTAGTGCGTGTGGTAACGGCAGAGACTTGTCGATTACGAATTCAACTTAATGCTCGACAGTCGAAACGAAAACGAAGGTGGTGATGTAATCATATTTGGTTACACGCTCAATTAGCTCGGTGGGTTATGAGAATTTGACCGTGCGAAGAGAGCAGCGAGTGGTGACTTCAGAGCGCGAATACATCGGACGTTCCTCTCTTGCAGAAACATGGGGCCATCGGTGTCTGGAAACGGTGTGTTATCGGGTGTGGGGGTCTCCTCGAAGTCCCAATTGCGGAAAAGGCTGTCTTCGTAAGACGCAGTGAAATTACTACCAAGCTCCGCATCCTCAAAAACTTCTTCAAGATACTCTACCCAGTGTGGAAAGGATTTTTCTGCATCAACGCCGTCGTCTATATCGTCCAAGTCGTCCTCGTATGGTGCCTGCCCATCCTTTTGATCGGCTTGCGACCACAGTGGAGTGGGGCAATTCTGACGGGTGGACTGGCGTTGATGTGCTTGTGGAGTGGGGGTTCGTTTGCGAAAAGAGCGTCGTATTGGGGTTCGCGATGTACGACCCGGCGAAACGGTGAGCTGGGGTGTGCAGCGTAGGCTTTCTAGATGGTGCAGCTTCAGGCAGGGCGTCAGTGGAGATGGGTGCCGCTAATACGGCGGCGCTAACGGACCCGCTGTCGGACGATTCATGCCCCTCAACCCGCCATTTTTCTTGTACGAATCTGTCAACCAGCGGGCGCTCTGTTGAATCTAGAATACGGGATATTGTTGGCCCGCTTTCGGTGGATGTTTGTTCGCGCTCACGCTTGTATTGGCGTATACACTGCGTGTCTAGAGCTTTCGGTGGTTTCATCTTATTGCGTCTTGGAGTATGCATCATCCCAATCTCGCTGAATAACCTTTTCGTAGCTGCAGTATCAACCGCGATCGAGAGTACTCTTATTGCCAGGTCAGGTAAAACACTTGTTGGGTTTTCCTTTTAACGTGCTGCCAATACTTAACTTATTATATCGAAACTCTTTCGGATGCGCGGAAGACAGCGAATTCTCAATCCACTCAATCATATAACTGCGAATACAGTCGTAGTCATCATCAATTCGACGACGGTAATAATAGACAGCAAATTTTGCGAGCTGTGTCGAAGATGCGATTATGGCTGATTTTTTGCTATCTTGATACCGTTGCCGGTGCTCTTGCTCAGTGCTCTCGTCTAGCACATCTCTACCAAAAAGGCGCTCCTCCATCTCTACGACACGCTTTCTGTCGTCGGTTCTTTCCACAAGTTTTCTTCCTTCGTCGGCCGTCATCGGGCTCAATAGAAAGGTCAACATGATCAGTGACTGTGCACATTGTTCCCAGCGTAATTCTACACATTGAATTAGTCCACTTCGGTAATTCAAATAAAAGTTGTCGAAACCCACAAAAATATCACGAACTGATAAAACGACATATGTCAATGTGCTATCGTCGCATTGAAGCCGATAGGATGACTCCAATAATGGCGCAGTAACTTGTTCCGCCGCTGTCAGCTTCCTCCAAAATGATGGGTCGTTGAACACCTTCAGCGATCTAGGGTAATCCTTATAGCCACAGTACTTGCTATAAGCATCTCTAGCGCAGTACGAACTCTCAATAATGAGGCAAAACAGCTCTGCATTCTATTCCTTGGTGTCTCACAAAGTGTAAACAACGCTAGCGGCTTGTCGTAGCATTCCTCCATCATGGCTCTATCTCGGACAAGCCACTTAGCTGATGACGCAGTAAGGCACTTAACGGCTGCCGTTGCCTCCTTGGCAGCCCCAAAAAACGACTTTAACACTGCTTTGACAATGTTGTTGATACAGTGTGCAAAGCAGAACAGAAACGTAGCATTAGGCCATCGTAAAGCCAAGATGCGCCGAGCGAGAACCCAATTGGCTCTGGAGCTAAAAACCCTTAGCACAGCTACCTACTTGCAGGATAAAATCCCGCAAGTTATAATCTTCCCCCTAAGCAGCCCCAGGAACCTCGAACTATCGGTGTATATGTGTCTTGCTAGCTACTAATGCAAGCTAACGTGCATACATGCAGCATACCTCGAGTAGTGTCGCGATCCCTGGCCTCCGTTCTGAAAATGGGGGGGGGAATGAAATTTGAACATTGCAATTAAATACGATATGTAGACCAAATACACTGTGTACAACACATAATGTTAGTCTTAGCCAATCGAGGCCACCTTCGCTCCGCTCAGCAGCCATTAAAACGCACGTATTAGCGCTACATTTATTAGACCTA